ACCTTCAATTAGGGAGCACATCCCATCAATCCATACATAACACATTATCATCTCTTCATTATTCAACTGATCGAAAACCCAATACCATCCCAATTAAGTTTTCCGTTTGGATCAATGTTTTAAGTCAAGTTAGAACAAACTCAACAAGATAGTAATATCCACATAAACATAAGCATCATTAAAATGAAGAACATAAGGAACATAACCATAACACATGAAACATCATACCAAAGCATGATCATAAACTAATAAGCATATTCATGTACACAAAAGCATAAAACGCCCATGCAAAACTAAATTTCCAAATTCAATACCATTTAAAGATTAAAATCAAAGGGCTATTTTAGATATTTCCCGTACCTAGCCTTTCTATGGTTAGTAGAGAATTTAATCTAGTTTTCAGAACATGTTTCATAAATGGAATAGCTTTTTCAGATTTTTAGTTATTTAAGAAGCACTCCAGTGCTGTCCAAATTCGTCGATCGTTACGAAAATTGAATTTTCTTTCAAACCGCTCTCTCTTTTTAAATGAAACCATTTTTACTTGAAAGAAAACTCTTTAAGGAAGATGTTTACATAAAACTAAGGTCTATAAGATTTTTATACATTTTTCTATAATTTTTGAAAGTTGGCTGTAAAACAAATTTTTCTGGCACAGTTCTTACAACAAGAAAGTTGGTGAGAAAAGTGGTCAACTAGGGAAAATTTTCCACTTATCTTGTGATGAAAACTTGCTAAATAATATGTATTAAACCCAGAAATTTAAGGTGAAGGTGTGCCTTTGGAAATTTTGAGAGTTTGATATAGAAAAAGGAAGTCTTATACCGATTAAGAGAAATACAAGAAGGGTAGAATCAAGACTCAACTCCTTTCATTTTTAACACAAGAATACCATTAGAACATATCTAAAAATACCATTTTAAACTTTTAATAACATGTATTTGAAAAAGGAAAATGAAAGAGAGAGTTGTGTTGTGGCTTACTTGCTAGGCTTGAACAAGATTGCTTTCCTCTTCCTTCCTCTCCCTCTCAAGACTTCTCTCTTGCTCTCCTTCTCTCCTCTAGGCCGAATGTATGTGAGTGTGTGTTGTTTGTGTATGCCATGCTAGGGGGGTGGTTGTATTTATAGGCAATTTTGGTGTAAAAAGATATAAAGGCCCACCAGTTGGAATTGGATTGAAAAGTTTGGATTTACTTGGAGTCTAATGGAATAGGGAGTGATTAGGGAACTTAATCATGTGAGTAGACAATATTTAGTTGGCCTCTAGTTGGAATGGAACTAGTGTTGAGAACACAACCCTAGATTTAAGGGTACTAGGTACTAGAGCTTCTAAAATATCATAATTACAAGTCTTGAAAATTTGTCCCTCACATTCTCCTAGGTTGGTCGGCCATGGGGAAGGGAAATGGAGAGTATTCTATTCAATATATGGGTGCTATGGACACATTTCCCAATGTGTGTATATATATATATATATCTCAAATTGATTTGGTGGTACAATAGTATAAAAAGTACATGTACTAGTTTTGGGGCAAATCTTGAAATTAATAAAAGAAGTGAGGGCTTGGAATAAAACTTGTGTTTTGGAACCTTATTTATGTAGAATTAAATTAAATTAAGCTAAGGAACCTAATTCGGCTAGGATATTCCTGTTTCAATAAAAATAAAAAATAAAAAAATGCTAACTGGCAAGATTCGAAATAATTCAAGAAACTGAGGGGCTTTCAAGGAAATAATTCAAACATAAGGGTTTTTAAAGAGAATAAATTTTTTTTCAGGGGCTTCACACGTAATACCAACAAAAATATAAAATTTACAATGCAACCAAAATACATGTAAGGTAATATGAACAAAAACACAAAATGAGCTACCATCTATCCTCTAAATTACCAAACAGGTCCATATCAAATCTCGAATCTACAAAAAAATGAAACACAAAAAACAAAAAAACAAAAAAAATGTAAATTAAACAATTATTATCTTATCTATAAATATACAATTTAACATGCATTTTTCGAATTAGTTTTCAAATCAGAAGTCCGATGCAAGTTTCATAAGTTTTCACAACTTACATTGGTCCCTCCCGATGTGTTTGAGATGTTCCCCGGGACATCCCGTGGCTGTTGCACGATTTTGGCCCCCGAAGGTCAATTTTCAAGCTTAAGTGTGAAAAAGTGCAATTTTGGACTCAGTTTTCAAACTGGGAGTCCCGTGCTAGTTCCATAAGTTTCCACAACTCACATTGGTTACTCCCGAGGTGTTTGAGGTGTTTCCCTGGCCGTCTTGTCGCTATTGCACGATTTTGGCCTCCGATGGCGTATTTTCAAGCTAAAGTGTAAAAAAGTACATTTTTCGACTTAGTTTTCAAGCCGCGAGTCCCGTGCTAGTTCCGTAAGTTTCCATAACTCACATTGGTCCCTCCCAAGGTGTTTGAGGTGTTCCCCGGGCCATCTCATGGCTGTTGCATGATTTTGTCCTCTGATGGCCTATTTTCAAGCTTAAGTGTGAAAAAATGCATTTTTGGACTTAGTTTTCAAATCGGGAGTCCCGTACTAGTTCCGTAAGTTTCCAAAACTCACATTGGTCCCTCCCGAGGTGTTTGAGGTGTTTCCCGGGCCGTCTTGTGGCTGTTGCACGATTTTGGCCTCCGATGGCCTATATTTCAAGCTTAAGTGTGAAAATGTTCATTTTTCGACTTAGTTTTCAAACCGGGAGTCCCGTGCTAGTTCTGTAAGTTTCCACAACTCACATTGGTCCCTCCCGAGGTGTTTGACGTGTTCCCCAGGCCATCTCGTGACTGTTGCATGATTGTGGCCTCCGATGGCCTATTTTTAAGTTTAAGTGTAAAAAAGTACATTTTTAGACTTAGGCCTCGTTTGGGAACCCTCCCTTTTAGTCAAAAAGTCAAAAAGTTACTAAATTAGCTAAAAAGTCAACAACTCATACCAAAAAGTCAAAGATTCTTTTTTCTCTCTACTTTTTGCACATCTTTTCGTAAAAACTAAAAAATTATCCCAAACATACTAGTTTTTTTTAGCTCATATTTTAGCCAAATAGCCAAAAAGTTACTAAATTAGCCTGTTCCCAAGCGAGGCCTTAGTTTTCAAACTGGGAGTCCCGTGCTAGTTCCGTCAGTTTCCACAACTCACATTGGTCCCACTCGAGGTGTTAGATGTGGTCCCCAGGCCGTCTCATGAATGTTTCACAATTTTGACCTCCGATGGCCTATTTTCAAGCTTAAGTGTGAAAAAGTGCATTTTCGAACTTAGTTTTCAAACCGGGAGTCCCGTGCTAGTTTCGTAAGTTTCCACAACTCACATTGGTCCCTCCCGAGGTGGTTGAGGTGTTTCCCGGGCCGTCTCGTGGCTGTTGCACGATTTTGGCCTCCGATGGCCTATTTTCAAGCTTAAGTGTGAAAAAGTTCATTTTTTGACTTAGTTTTCAAATCGGGAGCCTCGTGCTAGTTCCGTAAGTTTTCACAACTCACATTGGTCCCTCCCGAGATGTTTGAGGTGTTTCCCGGGCCGTCTCATGGCTGTTGCACGATTTTGGCCTCCGATGGCCTATTTTCAAGCTTAAGTGTGAAAAAGTTCATTTTTCGACTTAGTTTTCAAACTAGGACTCCCGTGCTAGTTCTGTTAATTTCTGCAACTCACATTAGTCCCTCTCGAGGTGTTTGAGGTGTTACCCGGGCTGTCTCATGGCTGTTACACGCTTTTAGCCTCTGATGGCCTATTTTTCAAGCTTAAGTGTGAAAAAATACATTTTTGGACTTAGTTTTCGAACTGGGAGCCCCGTGCTAGTTCCATAAGTTTCCACAACTCACTTTGGACGTCATTACTCCAACTAACAACGAACTCCAAAGACCAGTCGCCTCCATTTCGGACGTCATTACTACGTTTGACCGGCATTTACACATATATTGATGTGATGAAGGTGATTGATTAAGATGTCATCTGGTTAAAAGTGTAATTCACTAGTTAAAAAAACAATATTAGTTGTTATAAGAGTACGCAGTGGTATTCAGTGGACTACGAAGAGGGTATTGTAGTGGTATTCTATGGATTAGTCACCAGAGTTGGGAGGAAGACTAGATTTGCAGAAAGGGAATGAAGTAAGGAGAATTTTAGGATTTTACATATGAATATAGAGAGCATTAAAGTCTGCACACAAAAAAGGAGAAGGATAAGATGGGAAATGGATATGAAATATCTAGTGGCACTGACAACTTCTGTTTGTCTCACTAACAGTCCATTAATAAAAGGGGAAAACTAAAATCAACAAATTAAAGCAGAAGAGAAGTTTCTTGTCTTTTCTTTAACCACAAAAGAGATTTCTACTATTGTCAATAACCTCAAGGGATACCTACATAAAAAAGAAATAACCTCAAGGGATGTCAATGTAATTTGTCTGTGTGTTTATCACCATCTTCTTTATTTACAGTTGTTTTAACCTTACTAAAAGAAAATTTGGTATAATTCCGTTAAACCTCTCAATTATAGACTTAAAAAAACATAAGATTAAGTCCTAATTAATCTTTAAATCTCAACTTAAAAAATCTCAGCCTTCATCTGTCCCTAAAATATATTGAGTAAAGCTCAAAAGCCCCTGCACTCTGAGCTATCAAATTAGCACAAGCACTGATTGAACAACGGAACGCTCAACCATAACCAAAAGAAGGAGAATTATTCTCATATCCAAAATGACACAACTTCCCAAGCAAAAGGTTTCAACCCATCCTCTAATGCATTAATTAGAGTAGCTGAGTGACTTCCAATTATGAAATTATGAGTAATCCATATTTTAGTAAAAGTATAACCACGCATTCGCAAGACACCAAGACCATTTTATATTTTCTATGGTATATTCTAACAAGTTGGACCATGATACCAAAACCATGAACTTGAAAATGGTTACAACTTACAAGGGTCAAAAAGAAAATAGCATTCTAGCAATTCTTACATAGCCAACATTTAGCTGTCTGACAGGGTAGTGCACCAATTAATGTATTGCAATTTAAATTAAGAACAAACAGGTTAAAGCATACCTCTTACAATAATACAAGTATTTGCAGCAGTGATTCAATCATTGTCTATAAAGGCCAAGCAACGGCTTCTCTCTCTCCTCAACTCTTTTCCTTGCAGCCTCCTTTTTTTAAGTACAGCTGCTTCCTCTTCAGATAAAACCTTGGGCTTTTCATCTTGCCTCTTTCTCTTGTTAACAGTGAGAGATGAAGGAGCACCTTTAATGGATCTCTTGGGATTTAGAGGCGCAGAAACAACTGGCCCAAGTAGCGCTCCATTTAGAGATTTTTGTAGCGCCTTAGTTTTCCAAAGCTTATCTACCCTCTAATGCTGACAATGGATTTTTCAAAATGAGCTTTTTTGAAGCCGAATTTGAAGAAGCTCGAGATGCAGCAAATGCCTCTTCTCGTGTCGCCCACCTGCCTGTTTCATTTCAAACAAGTAAATACTATTATAAGAATACATAACCAAGAAGTATATTTGGGAAGGAGCAACATAAAAATGACTCAAGTAAATCTATTTGTACACTCAATACCTAAAGCATCAGTGTAGTAGAAGCCAGAGTTTGGATCGTAGAAACAACCATTATTTTGATTACAGTAATAGCCTGAAGAGCTGTCATACTCCCACTCTGCCATCATGCAAAGCAACATCATTTAGTGTTAAACAATACTATACTAAAACCAATAAAATTCACAATTTGCTTGTTAAACATTCAATACTTTCTTTGTTAGGATTCTGGTTAAGGACTTTCATTTAGCCCACTCAATAAACCTGATCAAGTGCAAAATCAAAGTCAAACAAATTTATACCAATATTTGAATGGGAAAGAAAAACATTAAATTACAATCATGAATAAGATTTTACCAAACAAGCACATATATAATCCAGCCATATCAAGACAGTACTTGCAAAACTCTCTATTTAAAATCACAATTCATTAAATACAAATTCTAGAAGGGCCACCTACCCAAGGAATGAAAAACCATTTTAAAGTGCCTTATATGGCTTTAAATAACAGATGCAAGATCAGAGTTGTAAGAATCAAGCACAGGTTGACTGCATTTGCTTTGAGCTCAAGAATACTCCCACTCAACCAACCCCATCCAGCTTTGTTTTTTAAGAAATTTAGCCACAATTGAGCCTGTTAATTAGTAGCTTCATCTGAAATCCATCTCTTCCTAAGAACCGTACAATCCTAGGCTTGATAATGCAAGTTAATGATTATAACATATTCCAAAATCCAACTCTATTCAACTTTGTTCCTTAATGTTACCTCCCCAAAGAATTCTTTGAAAGGTAATTTCGTACAGATTGAGCCATTATAACTACATGATGCCTACCTCAACTGTCCATGTGCCTAGTCATGTTAATCCCAGTATTGGTCAAGCCTGGATGAGTGATAATCTAACTCAGAAAATTAGTTGAGCTCACAAGCTCATTTACTGGAGAAGAAGCTGTAACAAGCTTTTTGGATAGCTGATCTTGAGCTTGTCAAAGTGCAGCTCAATTATTTTAAAAAGAAAAGCACTATGCCTACCTAAAAGAGATTCATAATCATACAAGTTGCCGCAAGATAACTCCAACATGCAGATTCCAAGTTGGACCTCGTTTGGTAAAAGGCATCTTTAAAAAGGAAAATTTCAAAGATAAGTACCTATAACAATACTCAATACTTTGGCATGAAGTGTGGTTATGTGGTGCCCAAGTTGCCAAAAGATGAATTAAGACTAAAACTGTGAACTTTTTACCTTCTCCAGAAATCGCACTCCCCTGACCATCCTCTTGAGCAACTAATGCATGGGCATTGGAATTTGTGGCCTCTCGAAAAGCTGATATATCCTTCTGATAACTACTGTTGGCTTTCTAACAGAGACATTGGGATGATAGGAATAATTAATATATGTGGAAAAAAAAGACATAATTAATATATGAGAGTAAAAGTTAGAATTAATGCATTAATAAACATGGTTAACATGTGAGAACAATAAAGATAAAAACACTACAAGTAATGCATCAGCATCTATAGCCAATAGATCATATTTCACTCCGAACTTCATATTGGTTCATGTGTGATGACCAAGATACACCACTACGAAGCAGTGGAGTGGGGGGAAAGTTAATGTGTCGGGCACATACTTGTCAATTTATCAGTTGCCAGATGAACCAGGAATGTTGCTCCAAAGATATAATTACAACATAGTAAATAGATAAATAAAAGGAGTTAATGCAAAGCATTTTTTGGCATACTAACACAATCACACCGTTGATAAATTTAGTATTATAATTCTAGCCCTTGAAAAATGATAAAATCAGAAAGGCATAACATAAGCAGCCACTCTAAAGAGAGATAACATACCAATTAATTATGCTTTACTTTGCAAACCAGGTTGCATTTCATGATTCACTTGGGTCTAAACTTTTTTTTTTTGTGTAAAATCACTTACTAATCTTCAGAATGTTTATTGAAATTTCCATGTGATTTCACATTTTCCACACCCAATTCTTTTGTTTTGTATTCATCAGAGAAAGAGCAGAGAGAGAGAGAGAGAGAGAGACTAACAGCGATGGTAGTGAGCCGATCGGCACAGCAGCGGCGGTGAGGAAATGAGGGGCTAACGATCGACAGCAAGGGAAGGAGAAACCAACGGCGGCGGTGAAGAAAGGCTGTCGGTGGTGAGCTGATCGGCACAGCGGCAATGTGTGTAAATCGATGAAATGGTAGCAGCGGCGGTGAGGAAACTGTGTGTGTGGATGAGTATAGGGTGTGTGTGCGTGTGAAATCAGGTTTGATGGAGAAATTATTGTGAGTGTTTGAGAAGAAGAAGAATCGATTGCTGTCCATCTGCTTCTATAGGCGCCAATACATTTTTATTCCCCGTAAAATATTTAGCAACTAAATTATTTATTGGTGACAAAATTATTTCTTTACCAAAGATAAAAATATTAGCCACAAAAATAGTTTTGTCACTAAATGATATTAAAATATTAAAAATTATTGATGACAAAAATATATTCGTCATTAATAATTTTATAATTGGTGACTAATTTTTTCGTCACCAAAAGTCTCAAAATTTTGGTACCCTAAAAAAAAATTAGCGGGAAAATCTTTGGTGACAAAAAAAATATAGATAATGACGAAAAATAATTTTGTCACCTAATTTTTTATTTTTTTTTTATGATTTAGATTGGTGACGAAATTTTATTTTTGTCTCTAAAAATGGTACATTTGGAGATGAAATATTATTTTCGTCATTAAAAGATACGTATTTCGTGACAAAATTTATTTCGTCATTAGTTTTCGTCTCTAAAAACTATTTTTGTTTTAGTGTAGACATGATAACAATCACATGCATGTGAATAAAGGCTCACCTAGTACTCCAAGCCAAAACAGCGATAAAGTTAGAATAATGAATGATCCTAATTTATACAATATGACTAATGCAACACATGCGATATGCAATCTAAATAGGCCCGACTACTAGCATAGAATATGAATCAACTAAATAGCATGCAGTCTAAGCACGTATTCAAAGAAGCAGTTTAAACGACAATGCATTGTTAGAATGATAAACCGAGCCTCGGTGCATGCAATACAAGTGGATGCAAACATAAAGTATGCTAAACAAAACATGATGCCCTAAACTAACCATCATAAGCAGATAAATAAAAGGAAGAAAGACGTGGGGTTGGAAGACATATACATTATTACAACATTGCACCCTCACACAGGAGGGTTCAAATGAACTAACTAGTTAACTAAACTAATTAGCTATTACAACAACAAATGAGTAATTTAGCTAAACTACTTAACTAATTATTACAAACCGAATGCACTAATTAATTAACTAATCTAGCTAATTGAAATAATTACAACACGAGACGAATTAGCTATTCTAACTAATTAATTACAAAGCTACTATTTTAAGCACAACACTAATATATTTACAACACGGATCCCGAGAATCGATGGAGGGCACATGCATGAATGTGGTTTCTACCAGAAAAAGCCTTTGTTTCTGCTGCTGAATGCCTTAATTGCACAGTAGAACATTTGAATTAATTTCCACCTCCAAACCAACTATGTTCTGCTTCAAAAGGACACTGCTTGATTTTGCATTGGTGGCCAACATAAGGCCTGCCGTCCACTGATGATAGCCTGCCCGCCACTATTGACTGGATTGTCCTGCTGTAACAGAGAGCAAATAGAGCAGAGACAGTGTATTCTCAAGGGTTTGTTTGCACAATTTACCCTTCCTTATCATTTGAACAGCTCAAAGGAGTAGTAAGTTTAATTTCACAAACCACCAATGGATGCAATTTCATTGCATGATGGCTTATGAATCAAGTGTGCAAATTCAATGAATGCAATAAAATAAAACTCTCAAAACCACCTCCCTATCATAAAAGATCAATGGATGTAGTTGACAATGAATCTTGAACCATTTTCATCACTAATGAGTATGAAACGACTCAAGACTGAAGGGTTCAATTAACGTCCGATTGAACCCAAACCAAATTATTATCTTGCTCTTTTTATCCTCAATTTTATTACTTCATTTTAGATTATTATCTATTCTTTAGTCAATTGAGTCCAAAGGTGAATTTAAGTCCTCTAATGGAAAGATGGCTCAAACGAAGAGTTGCTTCGGGCATGAAAGAGACATCATACCGTTGGTAATGAACCCCCAAAGGGATTAAACCATTAAGCATGATATCTCAATCTCATGCTTAAACAAACAAGTAGTTTGAAACCACTTAAAGCAAAACAAAAGCCAAGAAAGGAGGGAGGTTACAGAGATGATTAAGAGTGATCACAAGTATGGAAAGCCATAAATAAATGCGATCAACTCGAATAAGATGGTGTCTAATGCCTAAAACACCAAACTCATGAAGACAATTACACTACAAGCATACAAAACAAAGCTCAAATTCATCAAACACTTAAAAATAGTCCTAAAATAGTCATGAATAAGTCCTAAAATATACTAGAATTAAGACAAAAATAACTAGAATAATAAGTTAAAACATGGATCATGCTAAGCTAGTAAGCAAAAACACAAGGAGGGGAGGCTAACCCCTCTAATTTTGGACTTCAAACCATGATTTTAACCACTAAAATAACTCTGAAAATCAATATTTAAAAACTCAAAAAAAGACAGTGCAAAGGTGGGAAACACAAGGGTAAAGGTCTTGAAAGTAACGTGCAAAGAAGGGTGAACCACCCCTCAACCTTTATTGGCCTTAAAACCCAAATTTCAGCCAAAAAATATAGAGTTTTTACAGCCCAAAAACAGTTGAAAAATAGTAAGAAAAAGAGTAAATACAACAAATAAATAGACAAAGCTTTATACCTCTTGAAGAGGAGATCACTTTCAAGCAATAAAACAAGGCAAACACACCTTCAAGAGCTCAAACAAGGCTCAAAGATACCTCAGCTCAAAGATGGAGAGGTTTGGTTAATAGTGTATAGACAAAGGTGAAGAGTGTCTAAGCAAAGGTTAAGAAATTTGCAAGAGAGAGAATTGTAGAGAGAGAGGAAAAATTTTGCTCCAAAATTTTTCTAACCCCATGGCGAAAGGGGAGGCCTCCTATATATAGAGAAACATAAACCTCCCTAAAAAACATTCAACCATACACATGGGAGCAGATGCAAACATCTATGCAAATAGTTGGCATAACTGTCACAAAATATTTGTGCAAAACACATTAGTGGTCGGCAACCAGGAGCAATGGCCGGCAGCCCATAGCAGTGGCCGGCAGGCCACCAGAGGTTGCAGGCTTGAAATCCTAAGGTTTTGGTCCAAAAACAAGGCAACAGGGGTGCAAAGTTTGAAAGGCTCAAAGTTGTGGCATTCTGTTGAGGATTTTCGAGCATTTGACAAGCATATACACTCATCATTGGGTATGCAAGCGATGGCATCCAAGTCGTAAGGGCCGTAAAAAATGGGGTGTCTACACAAGGCTATAGGATAGGATTAAGATTATTATTTTATCGACTCACAATTTTATATTTAATTGTAAATTTTATAACCAGATTACATGTATAATGAACATTAAATCTGACGAAATTGACAATTTTTGAATATTGAAAAGGAGACTAGCAATCATAATTTTAAGTATGATATAAAAAAAATTAAAATAAATAAATAAAAAATAATTATTTCACTAGAAGACTTATAGTTCTAGTTGTTGGTCTAACTAGAGAATTTGTAAATTTAATAAATTTTATAAGTTGTATTTGTAATTTAATCTTAATTTATTTTTTTTTTAATTTCATTATGGCCGGCCAGAAAAAACTAGTGGCACACCCTTTATAATTTTTTACATTTTATTAAGATTTTGGCGATGTTTGGGAAGAAATTTTTTGGATTTTTTTTTCACTAAAAGACAAATTGGTTACCAAAAAAAAAAAAAAATCCAAACAAAATATCACATCAAACCCCATAATTATTTTACTTTTTCTCTCACAAACATCACATCCAACCATAAAAAAAACCCAACTATTTTTCCAAACA